CGTCGAGCTGCCCGAGGCCCATGGGTATGACGCGGTTATGGTAGTGGTCGACGCCCTCGGAAAGCGTGCCCATTTCACTGAGTGCCATACGACAATAGACGCGGTCGGAGCTGCCCGCTTGTACTATCGGAACGTCTGGAGGCACCACGGAACCCCGAGAAGTACATTTCGGACCGTGGCTCGCAGTTCATCGCTGACTTCACGCGAACTCTGGCGCTTAATTGGCGTCAAACCGGCTACCTCCACGGCTTACCACCCGCAAACCGACGGACAAACCGAGCGCGTTAACCAAGAGCTCGAGCAGTACATCCGGATCTTCACCAACTACCAACAAGACGACTGGGACGAGCTTATCCCTGCCGCTGAGTTCGCCTATAACAACCACGTTCACTCCTCCACTCAACAGGTACCCTTTATGACTGACACTAGTCGGCTCCCCCGAATGGGTTTCGAGCCAGGTGCCCGCTCAGAGTTGGAGTCGGTGAACGAAGTTTCGTGATCGGATAGCAAACGGCGTCTCCGAGGCAAAGGCCGCTCGTTAAAGCCAAAGACGAGTATAAACGGTACTACGATCGGAAACGTTCGGACGCTCCGAATATTCAAGTTGGTGATAAGGTTTGGCTAGACGCCTCTGACATTAGAACGACTCGGCCCTCCGAGAAGTTCTCCCACAAGCGCCTTGGACCGTTCAAGGTGCTCGCAGAGGTTAGCAAAGGTGCCTACAAGCTCGACCTCCCCCGCGTTACTCCAAGCTCCACCCCGTCTTCCCCGTTGTTAAGCTCGAGCCCGCTCAGGACGACCCCTTCGATGGACGACCCGGCTACGACGAACCGCCCCCCGAACTAGAGGACGGAGTTCCCGAATGGGAAGTCGAGGAAATCTTGGATGCCAGGATAAGGTATAAGCGTCTTAACTATTTCGTCAGGTGGAAAGGCTACGATGCTTCACACGACTCGTGGGTTCGGTTCGACCGTGTCTTTGCGCCAGACAAGATTGCGGACTTCTATCGGAGATACCCGGGTAAACCACGGCACATCGCCTCAGCAACCTTCGACTCGCTGCCCTTCCGTATTATGCGTCGGGACGCCGCATTCAAAGGGGGGGTGATGTCAGGGAACCCCCCGCCGGCCTCCTTCGGACCCTCCGAACGCATCCGAGGCGCATCCGACCGGGCCCCCCTCGGACGCTCCGACCCACCCCGACCATCGTCCACGGCCTCCTTCGCCCGCACAATCACCGATCCGTCAAGACCCTCCCAACGATCACCTTGGGACAGAGCCTGCGACGCCGCTCAGGCCTTCTGCGCTCTACGTCGGCAGTTACGGACGACCAGTATATAGTTGGCGCCCTAGCAGGCGGACCCTTAGAGTTTCTTCTCTTTGGATCCTCCCCTGCTAGGCTTTCGTCGGAGTCTCCAGGGTTGCCCTTACAGCAGATAGAAAGAACATCTTTCAAGAAATAGAGAAACACATAGTAAGTTCAAACCTTTCTTTTCCCATAGAAACATCAACACAAATATCACCTTTTAGTATATATTTCCTTTCAAAAGAAATAAGATATTTTATCTGAATAATCAAAATGATTTCTTTTCACCATCTTTAAGTACTAGAGAAAGACTCTCTTTTCATCACAATGAAGGAGCAATTAAAAGACTGCCATTTTGTCCAACTTTCTATCCATAACAAATTGTGATCTTTGTGTTTTTGCAAAAAGGCCAATTGAAATGAGAGCTTTTGATATGCCTTTTTGTGTTGCACAAAGAACAACTTTTAATGACACACAAAGACATTCAGAAAGATTGTCTTTCTGTGCCTCTTTTGGACAATCACAAGGAACATCTTTATGATTGCCCAAAAGGGGAAAGGAATACCTTTCAGTTTGACTAAAAGATTAGCTTTCTGTCAGGACTAATAGGTGAAATATGATATTTCTGTGCTACCCGAGGGTATACCACGGGGTATACCATAGGGTACACATTGCGGCTTAGGTCAGGCGTATACGGGGTTTTTTTTAAAAAGATCCCTTGTAATTAGAATATTAACATTTTTAAAAAACAGCAGTGATTTACAAGTTGTCCCCTCATTTTAATAAAATCCACGCTGTCAAACTCCCTATCTTTCTTGGCACCTTGCCATCAACATTTTTTTTTATCTTTTTTGGCCTTTCCCCTACTCAGTATTTTCCCCATACTTAAGGAATTTTCCACACATCAGGTCTGGGGCCTTATAGCTACCACACTGCCCACCCTGACATGGCCTTTCAACTTTTTAAACCTTTTTTTGATCTCTCATTTCCCTATATAAAACCCGCCTTTTGGCAGGGGCATAAATTAGAGGCATTTTTTAAAAACATTCACACTGGTAATGAGAAGGCTTTTTTAAAAAAAACCCCGTGTACAGGTGCTTAGGTAGGGTTACCTTGGATGATGACACCATACCCTTCCAGTCTATGCGTCGAGACACCACATTCAAAGGGGGGGTGATGTCAGGGGAACTCCCTCTTTGGACCGCCACTCCGGGCGCTCCGCTCTTGGCACCCTCCGCCTGCTGCTCCGCCTCACCACCCTCCACAGCCTCTGTAAGCAGAAAATGATATATTGGTATATAATAGGAGTCATACCTGGTACAACAAGAGAAGAGCTGAGAGCCCCTCTCATTGACCAGGTCCCAGTTACAGTGAGATCAAGACATAGATAAGATATGATTAAGAAGTTACCAGGAGAGCTGCGTCACTCTCTGACAGCCTCCCTTGCCTGCACTATTACCGATCCGTCAACACATTCCCAAGGGTCACTTTGGGACAGGGCCTGCGACGCTGCACAGGCCTTCTGCTCGGAGCAACAATCATCCTTGGCGCGTCAGACACGCAGTATGGCAATGAATGTACAGATTATCTTATATTTGGTCTGGTGCGATGAGAGAAGCAGTAGGGGCTCTCTCGTCGCCCAGGTTCCAGATGAGGTGTCCGATCAGTAAGTAGATTAGATATCTGAGCCAGCTTATCTGGCACGTGCATCAGTTTCCAACACAGTATATAGTCAGCACCCTAGCAGGCAGACCCTTAGAGTTTCTTCTCTTTGGATTGTCCCCTGCTAGGTTGGTCCCTCCATGTATTTCCTGTAGTCTTATTCACACTTTGGATCCTCCCCTGCTAGGCTTTCGTCAGAGTCTCCATGGTTGCCCTTACACTTGCCCAACCTGAACACTAAATTTGGTGGGCAGCATTTTATTTGGGTTTTGGGTAAGAATACTTGCCCAACATGTAGTATTTAACTCAATTCAAATGCCATTTTTAACATGACATTCAATACAAAAATTTCAATTTCTAATTAGGCAGAGAAATCACCCTTTTGGGACGTCTTTTCGCTTAAATCTGTGTGACATGCCAAAAAAAAATCGTACCTGGACCGCACGGGTAAAACCCGCGCGGGTATGGCCTACCCATGCAGTTGCCTAAAAATATCGTTGGGCCTGATTCGTTGGAGCTGAACGAGTTACACTTGTCAACGTCGGCTGTTCCTCAGGCTTCCAGAATCCAGAGGCGGTTCCGACGCTGGGTTGTCAGAGCAGAGTACTTACTTATTCGAGGGCCACACTGGCGAAAGTTGACGCTGCTCGCTCAGCCGCGGCTTACGCGATCCGCGAAGGCCGGTGATTACGCGGACTCGGGTTGGTCAGCCGCAGTGCCTTCAAATAGGCCACCGAGGACTATGCAAAGCCCATCTAACGATGCGTCCCAGTCTTGTGTTGCTGGCAGTGCTTGCCCCCGCTTATGCCGCGTTCCCCACGTCGGTGTTGTACAACTCGCCGACAGGGCTCTTCCTCGAGAACATCGCCGTCCGGCCCAACGGGAAGCTGCTCATCACCTCCGACGCGTCCCCCACGCTCTTCTCCCTCGACCCGCACGCGAAAGACACGTCGCTCACAGCGGTGCACACCTTCTCCGGGCCGAACGGGACCGCGCTGACCGGGATCGCTGAATACGCCCCCGACGCGTACGCCGTCGTCGTGTCCACCCTCGACCTCACCACCCGCACCGCGCAGCTCGGGAGCGTCGCGATCTGGCGCGCCGACTTCTCCCGATCTCCTCCGACGTTCGCCCCCCGCGGCCAACATCCCGACGTCCCCGCTGACCAACGGGCTCTCCGCTGTCCCCGGGCTGCCCGGCGTGGTGCTCGCGGCGGACTCGGCGCTCGGCGCCGTCTACGTAATCGACATCCGCGCCGGCACGGTCCGCACGCTCGCGCAGGACCCCGCGCTCGGCCCGGCGCCCGCGAACAACCTGGGCGTCAACGGCCTGCACGTGCACGGCGGCTCCCTGTACGCGACCAACACCGCACAGGGCACCTTCCTGCGCGCGCCGCTCGCCGTGCGGCCGCCCGTGAGCGTCGCGCTCACGGGGCCGTGGGAAGTGATCGGGACGTTCGCCGGGACGCCCGGCGCTCTCGCGGGCTTCGACGACTTCGCGATCGACAGGCGGGGCCGGGCGTGGGTGACGGTGCATCCGGGCTCGCTGTCTGTGTTCACGCCGCTCAGGAACGGCACGTGGCTGCAGGAGACGGCGGCCGGCGATGCGCAAGGGGATGATGGCGTGTTCCCGTTCCCCGGGCCGACGTCCGCTGCGTTTGCGCGCGGGGGAGGGAATGAGGGGCTGTTATATGTGACCAACGGCGCGGGGCAGGTAGTCGTCGTGGATACGAGCAAAGAAATATAGTATCATAATTTGTGCCGCCTACTTACTACGAAGTATCCAGGTGATCCAGGGTGCATAATTCATTGTTGATAGGGCTATCATGATCCACTACTCATACTACTTAGCTAGTATTGCTCGGGCTTCAATACTCACTCCGCTCAAGTTCACAAACTTGAACCGTGACAAATGTAACTCGAACCAAATGTAACTCGAAGTAGTAGTTCAGATTTCAAGTTCAATTTTACAAAGCAACTTGCACTACTTGTAGTAAATTTGTGGGCGCACTGGCAGCGCTGTCCGACACACTTTCAGGGAAGTTCTTCGGGGTAGGCGTTGTCCACAAAGTACGCGTAGTTATCCGCGTTGAATACGCTATACAGGCCACTCGTCAGCACGGAAACAGGTGATTGGTAATAGAGCTGGAGACATACGCGTTGTGGGGGCCGTGCCGCGCCAGATCCATGGCGAGCGCCGAGCCGGTGACGATGGTGCGGGTGGGGCCGATGAAGTTGAAGTGCGACGCCTCGTAGACGAGCGTCCCGACCTGCGAGCGGCGGCCGTGGAGCGGCGCGTCGAAGAACCGCGGGCAGAGGTACATGATCAGGTACGGCTCGTTCGTCCACACATAGGCGTGCGCGTCTTGCTGGTCACATGAGCAGTCAAACTGGAGGACGACGGGTCAGCGGGCGCGGCAGCGGGGGCACCAGGGCAAGAGCACCCACAACGTATTCCCCAAAGTTGTTGTTCTTCATTCTGGCGATGAGGCCGGCCACGCGGGCGAGCCGGTCCTGCGTCTGAGCGCCAAACCATGTCGTCCAGCGGGGGGTTGCGCGCGGGTTGGCGATGAGGTCCAACAAATAGTTGTGTGCGCTTTCGACGGAAGCCTGCGCAGCCAGGGCAGCTCTTTGGATGATTACCTGCTGCTCCGGACTGCAGCATAGGTAGTTCAGGCGTTTGGTGAGCCGGGTTTGGGCGTGGCACGTGCCTGCCGGACTGCGCGGCGGGGTCGCGGTGGGGAGGTCCTCTGGTTTAAGCTCGATATGGGCGGTAGCGAACTTGTTGTTGGCCTCGATGGTGGCCACGGTACCAGCCGCGTCGACGTAGGAAAAGACGTTCGGGGCGACGATGGTGTACTTCCCAGTGCCTGTTTCGGTAAAATTGTATATCTTGGACACTATCACCGCTATGTCAGAGAACGGATGAGAGCGGGAAATTCAGTGCGCACCGTCGTGTTTGATGTCGATGAACGTTGCAGGACGCATTGTGACGAAAGAGTCCGCCCGGTTCTCCGCGAGGACCGCCTCCGGGTCGTAGTCCATGCGGACACCGATGGACCCGGGCGATTTCCCGTCGGGAGTGCTGATGCTGAACTTGTTCACATTGCTGGACACCAAGACCGTGTGTGGGTCCAAGAGCAGTTTGATTTCGACGTCGCCTGTGTTGATGATACTGCTGACGAGGTGAAGCGGCCCTTCCGCGGAGTCTGCGCAGGGGCACGTCAGTTAAAATGGGCTGGACGGCACTAGTAGCTGGAACTGACAGGTAAGAGCCAAGTCCAGTCCGACCTGCGCGGCGCGACCGGTAGCAAAGGAGAGGGCAATGAGCGTGGCAGAAAGAGCAGCTAGCATTTTTGTTGCAACTTGAAGTTGATGAGCCTTTGGAGGGTGTGGCCTTCTCTTATATACTGTCTCCGAGCACTCTGCGCCTGACCTGCCTGAACGCGAAAGCCGTAGAGGGACGCACCGTGCCAGTGACCACAGGCCGAAACGCCATAATCGTGATGTTGTAGGGCCAACGCCTGCCTGATGTCGAGCGTTTTCGTAATGAGAAAGAGACTCACCGACCGGGGGTGGCTCTGAGACTTCCAACTACAGTTTCTTCCGCGCTGCCGCCTCCAGGCAGCGACCTGACTCACCTGAGGCAGCCAGGAGATTTGCGTCAGCTGCCGCGGCAATGCGAGGGGAGGCCCCACGGGCGCGCGCCGTTGCCGCAAAGATGCGACGGTTAAATGTCTTGTAAGTACAAACAGTGCCGGGATTGGCGCTTTGCGCATGTGCGTGTACCGTGGAGTACTAGTGCCAGGTTGGCAACGGAGTCGTCAGGGTTGTTGAAGCGCTAGGCGCAGAGAGAACTACATGAATAGATGATCGGCATGTGCTGGCGTCATATGTGCCCAGATCGCCGGCCGCTGTGCAGCCCGTGCTGCTGGGTGACGTTGCATCCACTACAGCTCGCTGTCGGCATCACACCACAGAGCAACGGTGGTCCGAGAATGAGAGGTGGATGCATTGAGTGAAGAACGGGAAGTGATGGGTGTCACAGGTGACGATGATCATGATGCGAGTGACCGACCGACTGTGACGCCACGTTTTCAGCCTCACACACAACATGAGTTACCTGCAAACCCCGCTAACAGACCGTCTGGACAGCGCCTACTGCCCCAGCGACGACGAAGCAGCGACAATCCACGGTCTTCTTCGTCAACAGCGCACCCGACTGGCTGCGATCGAGAAGGACATCGCAGCCACCACGAAAGTGCTCGAGGACCTCCAGATAGGGCTCCAACCATTTCCGTGTACAAATGTTTGTACACGGTAATAACCGTTTTTATTTTCATTTAGTTTACTATAGTATGTAAATAGTAAATAAATGAAAACAAATGGTTTAAATGGTTATCCCCTAATAACAATAGCTGACAGGCTCATAACCATGTTACTACTAGGAATATGTCTGGTTACCACATGCATACTAGTGTAGAACATACATCCTACATGAATATGGATAGTTGCAGCATTTGTAGGCCTCCTCTTCCAGGAGTCCATCACATGATCCAGCATCAAATAAGTCAAAGGCAATGAATCTTGACCTACATGCCCATCTAGAACAGTATTACAAGTGAGAAAATGACATCCTTCACTTAAATAAACCTTATAAACTCAGGTATGTACCATAAAATTGTTAATTATTCTATGTGATTATATTAGCATTTGTCAGACTGCGGGTCGGGCCGTGCAAGGACTTCTCCTAAGAACGCGCGCCCGGAACAGAACAGACGAATAGTCGGGCCCGCAAGTATGGCGGGCGGGGTAGATCGAAACCGAAAGGGCCCGTGAACTCGGTCCCTTGCCGTAGTCGGTGGTCGAAGGTTCGAATCGGGTCGTGTCGGGCCCGATGAGTCGATAGCGTCTCCTCGCACGGAGTAAGGTAGTTCTTCAGACGATCTAAGCGATAGAGTACAGGGTACACTATCGCGCATTATATACGCGGGCCCGCAAAGGGGGTGATCGGACACCCTGGCCTCTCCTCCTCCTCCTCGCTCCCGTTCCTGGCCGCAGAGGGGACGATCGCACATCCCTTGCGGGCCAGGCGCTACTCCTGACCTCCTAGCACTCCTCCCCATTCCCCTGGTGTCGAGTTGGGCTCGGCAACGGCTCGACGCGTCGTTCTCGGTCACGTGCTTCCCACGTGTGCTTCCTCCTACTGGGGCGCATGTTCCCCGTCGTCACGTGCTGCGTGTTGCGGGCCCGCAATGGCCCGACACCAGCGCCGGAGCGGACGGGCCGGGTCTTATCCGTGACATCACCCCCTCCCTAGGAACGACTCGTCTCGAGTCGGCGTGGCTCGGTCGCCCCGGTTTCTCGGGTTTAATTTTGACTCTAGCTCGTCCTTCCAATCGCAAATTCCATCCAGCCCATAAGCTTAAGGTAAGCTTCGGCTGCGCATTTTAATCTCCGTGGCTTCTGACGCCTCGTGGCGTCCGCAGATCGATTCTTCCTGTCCATCAAGTGTTTCATCGCGGTCACGTGCGGTATAGCGTAGGTCCTTTTCAATTCAGTTGCGCGTCCTTTGTTCGTATTGCTTGCGAGTAGGCTGTGCTGCGCGCCTCGGTCGAGTTCGATATAGAACGCGTTCGTTCCCCATATAAGCCGGAGCTTCCCCTTCTAATCCTCTTTATGTCGTCCCCCAACTTGTACCGCTCCGGGTTATTGCCCCCTCTCAGTTCTCAGATGGTTCCCCCATCCTCAGAGCCGGGTCGTCTGTTCGTCCGTTTCGCCTCTATGTCCCTCGTCGAGTTTCCTGCTTCCTGGCCCATCGCGCAAAGGGCGAGACCCGTCGTACCGGGAGTCGTTCGAGCCCCTGCGCCTGTTGGAGGACTTGCCCCCGTCTCAAGCCGTCGACTATTCCTCCAAGCTACTCCCTCTGCTGGCCCCCGTAGTCCGTTCACATCGAGCTCCCGCTCTCCCAGTTCCCCCCGCAGCGCCCCCGCGGCCGTCGTCTTCCCGCCGAATCCTGTGGCAGTGCGAATTCGACCGCCTAATGAAGGCCGGTTTGTGGCAGCCGCTGGTCTTCGGGCCCCATCACCTCTATTTCGGTGTTCTGTTCGATGCGTTCCCCTCCTCCTTCGTCTGGCGTCGCGAGGACGGCTCTCTTCAGGATGTTCGCCCTTTGTTTGGACAGCTGGGCCGTGGCCTCCTTGCGCACCTCCTCGCTGCCGACGCTGCTTCGCCCCAGTGATTCGTTTTTTCCCGTCTGTGGCGTTGGGTGGTATGTCTCCCTCTCTGTGCGCTTTCGGCCGCGTGCTGACTGGCTCCGTTCAGCGCCTCATCCTTCACGCCTTGTCTTGCGCCGCTTCTGTCGGTCTCCCTTCCTTCGTCTCAGATCGATTCCTCGTCCTAGCCCACGTGGCCGCTTTTCGGCGTGTTTCCCGAAGAGAACGTAGCTCGGCCCGATCGCTGGCCCGACTACTGGGTCCTCTCCCTCCATCTCTCGTGCCGCCGTTCCTTCATGCCGACCGGTGGTCGTCCTTCATCCGGGTGGTTTCTTTGCCCGATCCTCGGGAGGAGTTTGCCTTCTCGGGCGGCCCCTCGTTGGATGAGGCGGAAGCGGGTGTTTCGTTCAGCTTTCTCCCGTTGGCGGCCTGGTTGGATGATCAATTCCCGAGCACCGAGGGTGATCCGGAGGATTCCGAGTCGACGGCCCCGGTTATGAAACGCGTTCCCCCTACTCCGGTGGTTCGGGCGCGGTCTTCGTCTTCGATGGAGGTCGACGTGGAACGGGATGGTGCCCCGCCGGTTTCGACCCTACTTTTCCTACCTTCCGACTCGGGTTCGGATTCGGATGTGGAGGTGATCGCCGGCCCTCGTCGTTTGTCTTCGGTGGGGATCGACGCCTCTGAACACGAGTCGGCTACGGATGCCCTCGACCCTTCCTTCTCCCCGGCCGTGTCGCCTGCCCCGTTGCAACGGGATTTCGGCACCCCCTTGGCCCCTCGTCTTGAATCCACTGGACAGCTGGCGCTTTTTCGAGGGGAGCCCCCTCGTCAACCGGGAACAGTGATCCGATCCCTTTCCCCTCGCTGTGAGTATTGCATCGCCCACGATCGTTTGTGCACCGTGTGGGGCGTCCCAGATAGTTCTCCCCAGAAACTCCCTGGTCCCGTGCGTCGGGCTTGTGACGCGTGCAGCCCGCTCCATCGTGCTTGTCTGCGTTGGCGGTCTTTTGCAGATGCGTACAAGGCTCGCTCCGCGGCTCTGCACGATTTTTCCTTCGAGTTTTGGGAGCGTCAGGTCGAGGATGGCGAGTTTGCGCTGCTACGTCCCGATCCCCGCTTCGCTGATCTAGTCGGGCTGTCCGCTTCGGTCCCGTACCGGTCCTTCTTGTTCTCCTATTTGCCCCGATCAAACGAGGATCGGTTCGGGCGGAGCCCGACCCCGACGGTCGGGCCTTCTTCGGGCCGTCGTCGCCGCCCGGTCGTCCTTTCGTCAGCGTCTTCTCGGGACTCCTCCCCGTCCCCCGTGCGAAACGAAGTTCGCACCCTCCGCCGTCTCCCCCACCATCGTCAAGTCGGCCCCCGCCGAGGCCCCGCCCCACTTTCCCGCCGGCCGGCCTCCCCTGTCGCGGATCGCTCATTAGGAGAGGCATCGTCCCGGTCATCCGTTCCTGCCGGTGAGACCCACCCTCTTTCTTATCCCACCATGGGTTTCCAGGTGCCTTCGTTCCCTCGAGTCTCCCTGTGGTTCGGGAGGGGATGGGACTTGGATCGGGCCATTGCCGAGTCTCGCCGGTTGCATGGGGACCCGTCGGTACCCGCCGATCAGCGCTTGTCTCCGTTGGGCGTGCTGTTGCTGCAACAGTCGGCGGTTCATTCGGCCGACGGGGGGCTTCCCGGATGCTCGGACCCGCGCACTCGCGGAGTTGTCGTCGATCGTTCCCTGGACGCGACCTCCGGTTGGTAAACTCGCTGGAGTCCCTGACCGCCTCGGGGACGTCGCCCGGCGTGTGCCGCTATCTGGGCGCCATTCTTCTGGCTATCCACCGGTCCGAAGGAGAGAGGTCGGGATTCTGGGAAACGCCGGAGGGTTTAGAGCGTCGGGCCGCTGAACGAGAGGTATATGCGAATGTGTGCCGTCAGGACGGCCTGAGCTTCGACATGATGGACCTGGATTAGGCTTCGGCGGGTCGTTGGTCGTCTTTCGGCGACCTCGGCCGGAGTTCCCCGTCTACTCGGGTCTCGGCGTTCGGGTATCCTCATCCTCTCGTCTGCTGTCGTCGTTCGCGCGCCCTGTCAAATCGGCCTTCTCTCATAGGGCGCCCCCGTGGTGGTTCGGACCGTATCGTGTTTTTTTTT